GTCAAATAAATAAATAAAATCTTTATAAAAAAAAAAAAAGTCACATGCTTTACTGACTGAGCCAGCCAGGCACCCCTCCAATTTTTCCTTTTAATTTTGTTTTAATTAACTTATGCTTAAATTTAAGCATAAGCATGTGGTTAGTGGCTACCACATTGGATAACATGGATCTAGAAAATAAAGTTCAAATGCTGCTACACAGCATACAAAGTCTTTAGGATTTAGCCTATATGTATCCTCTGCCAATTGGAATTATATAAGCAGTTCCCTGAATGTGGCACATTATCTCACTGCCTATACCCTTCTTTCTGCTATGATGCCTACCTGCCTTCTGGTCTCCTTTCCAGTTGCTACTCATTTTCATAGATAAAATAAAATTCTCCTTTTTCTAAGTCTCCTGTTACCCCCAAAAGAACTGACTGTTCCCTTCGTTTGCATCTCCACTAAATTCTGCATACATTACTATCATAGCAATTATTCACTTGATTGTTTACATGTGTCATCCTCTACTTATTGTAACTTCTCTGACATATATCTCAATGTTTAGGATAATGGTGCCTAGCGCAAAATCAGTGTTCAATGCTGGCTGAATGACTCTCAAAGATAACTTTCACACATATCATTTTTTTTTTTAAAGATTTTATTTATTTACTTATTTGACAGAGAGAGAGAGAACAAGCAGGCAGAGAGGCAGGCAGTGGGAGAGGGAGAAGCAGGCTCCCCGCCGAGCAGGGAGCCTGACGCGGGGCTCGATCCCAGGACCCTGGGATCATGACCTGAGCCGAAGGCAGCCGCTTAACCGACTGAGCCACCCAGGCGCCCCTCACACATATATCATTTAATACTGATCACTTCTAAGTCTTTTCATTCTTAAATATTTTACATAGAATTAAAGTGATAGAAAACTGCCCTTCATATTATTTTACAGTATTTGAATCATACATACTACACACTACACATCAATCTTCCTGTCTCAGGTAATTTTTCTAAGAGACCCTCTCAGAAATTAATGGCATGTTGCCATTTTTTTTTAAAGGTTTATTTATTTGAGAGGGAGAGAGAGTGCATGTGCAGGGGGGCAGAGGCAGAGAGAATCTTAAGCAGACACTGCTGAGTGCGGAGCCCGGTTCGGGGCTTGATCCCATAACCCTGAGATCAGGACCTGAGCCAAAACCAAGAGTCAGATGCTTAATCCACTGTGCCACCTCGGCACCCCCATGTCACCATTCTTATACTTACTTTGTTAAGCCCTCAAATTCAATCTTTCCCATATTGTTGAACATACAGATGATCTCACTGCAATTCATATTCAACCTAAAATAAAACACTAGCATATAAGTAAATGTTCTAATACCAGTTTATTACTTTCTCTAAATAAAAGTCAGTGGCTAACATTAAAAACTCTAAAAGAACATTTTAAGTGCTCTAATACAACTTTATTACTTTCTCTGAAAGTCAGTTGCTGACATTAAGAACCCCAAAGACAACATATTTTTCTAGTGTAACTGAAGAATCCTCTATGCCCAATTTATCATAAATTACTCTTATTTTACATGTTTGCTAATTTGGGAAACATTTGTGACACAAATTTTCAATTTATAATTGCTTGCTATTTAATAAATCTAGGCTCTAATACATTTTTATACTTAATTTTTAGGTTCTCCTGAATTATAACTTACTTACCTGGGAGAGTTCCTTAGTTTTAGAGAGCTAACTTGTAACAATTCACTCTCAAATGTTAATTTCAAAGTACGGATAATCTAGAATCAAAAGACAAGTGTTACTCAGATGTGAATTTTTTTTTTTTAATAAATATTACTGGGGGTGCCTGTGTAGCTCAGTTGCTTGAGTGACTGCCTTCGGTTCAGGTCATGATCCTGGAGTCTCGGGATCGAGTCCTGCATTGGGCTCCCTGCTCAGTGGGGAATCTGCTTCTCCCTCTGACCCTCTCCCCTCCCATTGCTCTCTCTCTCTCTCTCTAATAAATGAAAAAAATCCTTAAAAAAATAAATATTATTGAAACAAAGTAAGATTTTAGAAGGAAAACTATAGCCTTTAAGTATCTCACTAATGTGTTCAAGGTTTGATTATAGGCACCGAAAGGGATGCAAGTAAGTGTTTATGGTTTTTCCCCTTAAAGAAATTTTAAATCTTTTAGAGACATAAATTAATAGATAACAACAACAAAAGACACTAGTTAACAAATGGGATATAGCTATGTAATCAGAGAAGATTCTGATTATATTCACTTTGCATCTGCATTGCTATCCTCCAATGTCTTTTTGCCTTATCTTCTTAATAAATCTAACTAGGGTGAATACCAAATCTTTTTTTTTCTTAAGATTTTATTTGTCAGAGAGAGAGCATGCACGTGCACAAGCAGGGAGAGCAGCAGGCAGAGGGAGAAGCAGGCTTCCTGCTGAGCAAGGAGCCTGATGTGGGGCTTGATCCCAGGACCCTGGGATCATGACCTGAGGTGAAGGCAGACGCTTAACTGACTGAGCCACCCAGGTGTCCCAGGTGAATACCAAATCTTATCACTTTTTTACATCTCCTAATGCCTCATGTGTAATACACAGGAAATGAGAGAGGTCTGATCAAGTAAGACGGTAGCACTTAGAGACTTTGGAGGCAGGTAAACCAATGGCTTCTATTTTATACCTCAGTTCAGCCCAAACACCTGATTATCTATGGGAAAAGGCCATGAGGATTCAAAGACAATAGAACAGGATCTATATCCCAAAGGAGCAAGGTAGAAATTAGCAAAAATATCGATGGTTAACTCTGTCTGGCTAAACGATCTCATCAGGAATATGTTTTTATTTTTGCTCAGCTGTGCTCCCTAGGCACATTATTAGATGATAGAATATAGTGGAAGCACCCTGTCTCTTGACCCACACATTTGGGGAAGCAGGAAGAAAAGGAAAAAAAAAACAAAACAAAACCCTGAATGAGAACTTGAATTAAGTTTTTAAGTCAAGAATTCAGTCATATCTCAATTGTTTATGAAAAGAACAGAGAATCTCATTTAGTTTGCTGCCCTTATATGTTCTCATTTTTTATTCAAATATTCTAGGAACATCAATTTCCAACTCAATGTCACCCTACTTGCTCTCAGATCATGTGTTATAAAGACCTTATTACCATGCCATTTCCCTAACTGGTAAATAACAATAAAAGGCTAAACAAATTTATTAATGTTTGTTTTAGAATTCAAACACTAAGAGTTCTAAATTGAGGCCAAGATAAGTTAGAATAGTCTGAAAATAAATGCCTGTTAAGTCTTAAATATCATATTCCAAAGCATGTAAACTAATATACCTCAGAAATAAATTCACATTATGATCAAAATTACCTGATTCAGGTCACAATAAGTCCTTAAAGAAGGTGCTGATTTTAACTCTCTTGCTATCTTCATAGCTGCAGCCAAATCATTTTTTTTCTCTTCAATGTAGCTTTTAGCCATTATTACATTTGACAGATAATCATCTGCATTCCTTACTACTTCTTCACACAGATTCTTTTTCCTTCATATAAGATCCCAAAGTTATTTTACAGAATTTCATAAATGCTCATATGAAAGTGAGTTTAAAACAACTGAGTGGTATCAAAAGGGTAATTTCACTAGTTTACGAACATGGTTAAAAGAAGCATTCAACTGAGATATATTATAATTGAAAACTAAGTATGGATAACTAGAGAAAAAGTAGGATATAATTATCATGTCACAGATACAGCTGTCACAGAATTACAGAAGACAGATCCTAGATGATTCCACATAAAAGAGAAATCCTATCTTGTAATCACTTGTGCCATTTCAAAGACAATTTGTATTCATTTCCCACACAGATATGCTTGCACATTTTAAAATTTCCATCAGTTGACACAAATTACATAAATATAAAATGAGATTTTAAAATAAGACTTCACCAAACCAGAACACAGGTATCAATTAACTATAATCTTCAAAGTAATCCCTTAGAACGGCAAATAGCGATTCCTTCATTACTTGTACCTCAGTACTCAAAATCTTTTCTGGGCCTATGATGGAATTAAATTATTATGGCAATTAAAAAAATTTTGTACCAAAAACTGTAGTGTGTAGCTTTCATTTTATTATCAAACAAATGACTATTTCCTCAAGATCAAATCTGGACTCAAAAAAAAAGGAGTGTTTGCCACACTGAAGAGTAACAAGAATGTGACACAGGCTCTGAAGGTGAAGAGGTATTCCAAAAACTGTTTTGGTAATTGTATAAATAATCTGAAAGTCATTTCTTTAGGGGAGAAAATGGTTATTTTGGTAAGTTCTAGTATGGTTTCTAAAAACTCATGCCTGTAGACTGATATCAGCAAAATGGCAAACGAGGTAACTCTAAGCCCTTGTTACTCAGTGGAGATGTCAAAAAAAAAAAACAAGCAAAAACTAGTTAATCTTATAGAAACTCTGGAAAATAAACAAAGGTATACAGCAACCAAGCAAATGCCCAATCAAGGAAAAGCCACATTAAAAACAGTAGGAAATTCATGGTGGTTTTTCTTGTTCTTGCCCAGCCCCCTCCTCAGCATGGTGTAGTCTTGGTGTAGAGATAGCAGCACAGTTCCCAATTCCTTCCGTCAAACCAGAGGGAGCATAGCAGACTTCATCTGTAATGTTCTAACTTGTTTGTGGGATGCCTGAGGAACTAGTCTGTTTCACCTAACTTGGAGCTCAGGCAGTGAAGAGCAACAGGCAGTACTTGGGAAGGCTGTAGGAAGACTAAGAGCTATAGATCCCTGGGCAAGAGATTATCGGTAAAGACATACACTAGACCATCTGGGGCTTGCAAAAGCTTGGGTGAGACTCTTTTGGAAATGAATACATTTAAAAGTAGCTATGTATATAAAGGAATAAAGAAAAAAATCATACTCAGGCCCAGGCAAGATGCATGCTCAGAAAAGACCTGAGAATACCTTAAGCCTTCACCTGAGGCTGATTCTAAGGCTCAGAGCATGCTCACTCAGTGAAAGACTGTCCCTGAAGAGAGCCAGTTTGCAATGACTAGAAGAGGTGGCTGTGTTTTCAGATGCCCAATTTTCAAAAAAACAGCAAGGGCATATAAAGACATGGGAAAACATGACCCAGTCAAAGGAAAAAAACAGAGTGGCAGAAACCATCCCTGAAGAAGCAGAGACATAGGACTTATTAAAGACTTTAAAACAAAGGTTTTAAATATGCTCAGAGAGCTAAAGGAAAACATGCACAAAGAACCTAGAGGAAATCAGGAAAAAATGAAGGACCAAAATGTGATTATCAATAAATAGACATTATAAAAAGGAAAAAAATTCCAGTGCTCAAAAGTACAATAACTAGGGCGCCTGGGTGGCTCAGTTGGTTAAGCGACTGCCTTCGGCTCAGGTCATGATCCTGGAGTCCCGGGATCGAGTCCCGCACCGGGCTCCCTGCTCGGCGGGGAGTCTGCCTCTCCCTCTGACCCTCCTCCCTCTCATGCTGTCTCTCATTCTCTCTCTCTCAAATAAATAAATAAAATCTTAAAAAAAAAAAAAAAGTACAATAACTAAAACAAAAAATTCGCTAGAGGGGTTCAACCGCATATTTGAGTAGGAATAAAGAATTAGCAAACCTGAAGATAGGACAACTGAAATTACAGAGTCTGAGGAACAGAAAGAAAAAATAATGAAGAGAAGTGAACAGAGCCTAAGGGACTTGAGGGATTCTCTCAAGAAAAGCAACATATGCATTACAGGAGTCCCAAAAGCAGGAGAGAAAGAGAAAGGTGCAGAGAAATTATATGAAGATATAATAGCTAAAAACTTCCAAAATTAGATAAAATACATAAATTGACGAGTCCAAGAACCCAAGGATATTTAAATAGAATAAACTTAGAGACCCCCACAAAGACACAATATAATCAAACTGTTGGAATACAAATAGAGAATTCTGAAAGCATTAAGAGAAATGCAATTTGTTATACCCAAAGAATCCTCAGTAAGATTATCCGCCAATTTCTCAGTAGAAACCTTGGAGGCCAGAAGGCAATGGGATGACATATTTAAATTGTTGAGGGGCACCTGGATGGCTCAGTCAGTTCAGCATCCGACTCTTGATTTCAGTTCAGTTCATGATCTCAGGGTCATGAGATCGAGCCCCGTGTTGGGCTCTGCACTGGGTGTGGAGTCTACTTAGGATTGTCTCTCTCCCTCTCTCTCTGTCCCTCCCCTGAACTCTCTCTAAAAAAAATAAATGAAGGGGCGCCTGGGTGGCTCAGTTGGTTGGGCGACTGCCTTTGGCTCAGGTCATGATCCTGGAGTCCCGGGATCGAGTCCCGCATCGGGCTCCCTGCTCGGCGGGGAGTCTGCTTCTCCCTCTGACCCTCCCCACTCTCATGTGCTCTCTCTCTCATTCTCTCTCTGTCAAATAAATAAATAAAATCTTTAAAAAAAATAAAAAATAAATAAATAAATAAATAAATAAATAAATAAATGAATGAATAAATAAAGTGTTGAAAGGGAAAAGCTTGCCAATGGAGACTTCTATAACTAGCAAAACTGTCCTTCAAAAGATAAGGGAAAAGTTAAAACACTTCCAGATAAAGAAAAGCTGAGGGAGTTCATGATCAATATACTTGGACTACAAGAAATGCTAAACAAAGTCCTTCAGGTTAAAATGAAAGGAGGAGAGACAGTAACTTGTACTTGGTAAAGGTAAATACACAGGCAAATATAAGATCTAGTATTTTTGTAGTTTTGGTTTATAACTCCACTTTTTATTTTCTACAGGATTTAAAAGACAAACACATAAAATGACTATAAATCTATGTTAATGGATACATGATGTATGAAGATGTAAAGAAGTTTTTACATGCAATTCAGTTAAGCTGGTATCAATTCAAAATAGACTGTTATAACTTTAATATGTTATATGTAATCCCCACGGTAACCACAAAGTATAGAATATGCCAAAAAAAAAAAAAGAAAGAAAGAATGAGAAGGGAATCAAAATGTCACTACAAAAAAGTCAAGTAAACAGAAGAAGGTAGTAATAGAAGAAATGAATGATAAAAAGGCTCTAAAACACATTGAAAACAACATGGCAAAAGTCTTTCTTTATTGATAATTAATTTAAAATTAAATGGATTAAACTTCAGAATCAAAAGGCACAGAGTGAAGGACTAGAGTTCAAAAAATGACAACATATTTGGTCTACAGATACTCATTTTAGATCTATAGACAAACAGAACGAACGTGAAAAGATGAACATAGTCTGTGTAAATAGTAATCAAAAGAGAACTATACAAATATTAGACAAAATAGACTAAGTCAAATACTGTTACAAGAGAAAAAGGACATTATAAATTGACAGAACATCAAGAATATACAACTATAACACATATATGCACCAAATACAAGAGCTCTGAACTATATGACACAAACACTAACAAAATTAAAAGGAAAAATAGCACTATAATAATAGGTGGAGACTTCAATATCCTACTTCCTACTTCCAATAACAAGTAGGAAAACCATTAGAATACCAATAAAAAATAGACTACTTAAACCGTATGACAGATCAATTGCACCTAACTGACATAAAGAGAAAAATCCACCCAACAACAGAGAATACACATTTCTCTCAAGCATACATGGAACATCCTCCAGCATATGTTAGGTCGAAAATCAAGTCTTTTAAAAACCCAGATTAAAAAAAACCTGAAAACATACAAAGTATCTTTTCTGGTCACACAATGGAAAGAAACTAGAAAACGTTAACAGAAGGAAATGAAAAATATGTGGAAATTAAAGAACATACTCCCGTAAATACAAATGGGTCAACAAAAAAAAATCACCAGGAAAATATCTTGAGACAAATGAAAAACAAAAATTTTAAAAATTGAAAAGGGTGAGGAGTTAAGGTGGTGGAGGAGTAGGGGACCCTAAGTTTCTCTATTTCCTTGAATATTGCTAGACAACTATCAAATCATTCTGAACACCTGTGAAATCAATCAGACATCTGAGAAAAGAAATGCTGCAATTCTATAAATAGAAAAGCGACCACTTTCTGGAAGGTGCAGAGACCTGAATATGGGGTGATATACTGGAGGATTTGGTGGAGGGGAGGGAGACTGCTTACGGAGGCTACTGCAAAGTATTATAAGTAGTGGAGCACAAAATCGGAACTTTTAGAAGTCTGCTACATATGTCCCTGGCTTAAAGGTGCTCAGGTAACAAAGTGAGGCAGAATCCCAGGTGGAATGGCATTGTCTCAGGATCCCTGGGGTCACAAGAATGGGGGTGCCTGAGTGCGGCAGAGTTCCCAGGCATAGGAGCAGGGAAGCCCACTGAGAACAGTGAGTTTAGGTGCCAGCTTTCTGCTCTGTGTTGCCATAAACTGCGACCCGCTACACATTCCAGTGACCACTTTCCTGGGAGGAGTCCAGCAAAAGGCAGAAGCATGGTGAGACCCCCCTCCCTCCCTCCACAATAGGAACAGTGTGGACCCGCACCACAGGTGTCCATAAAATTTGAG